CCCTCAGCAACTACATCGTGCCTAGTCACCATAGAAACTCCAGTCAAAAGAAAATTACATAAAAGCATCATTAGCCACATTCTCTGAAACTAGAAGCTTCCCATAGTATCACCTTAAGTTGAACTTCATCGGGAAGAAACAAACACAATTCATGTTAATATCAGTGATTCCTTCATTCTAAGTAATTCTTAGAATATAATTGTGATTATTAAAATAAAGTCATTCTTATGCTTATTGGAACAGCATTGGGTACAATGAAGAATGTGAATGCCTGGAATTATAGGTAAAGCTATCTCTCCTTATAGTTAAGACTTAGATGTTTGAAGTGCTAAGCATCAAGCACCCACCTTAATAATGCATCATAGAGTTTTTTTCCAAACTTTTCCTTCACAGAATGTGCAGTGTCCCTATTTGGAATGGAAAGATTTACAATTTAAACAGTATCACAAAATTTTAATCTTTATTTGTCATGGCAATGCTGTTGTTTTGTCGACATTCTTTGAAATTACAGGTCTCTTTTTTATAGCTTCTTCTATTATTTTACTATTTGCTAATTCAGCTTAAGTTAAAATCTCCAGAGCTTTTAACAGAACACTCTGACCAGCCCAAGCTTAAAATTTTGTTCTTAATGATAATCAGAGTAGGCTAGAGAACAGGGAGAGGGAATAGGCAGAGGTATAACTATAACAAGATGGGAATTAGTTAAAAATTGTTGAATCTTGACTATGAGTATGCAAAAGATCATTGTATTGATCTCTTTACTTTGGCCAATGTTTTTAAATTTCCACAATAAAGAGTTAAAATTTTTTTTGACCTATCTTTAAAGATTTCTGCAGAGGCTTGCTCCTTCCAGGGTAGCTCATCTCAAAGTTTGTATAACATCTATAATGTTGTAGCCATTACACAATCTAACTGGAAGCACAATGAGTAGAAAGCCAAGTAGTATTTGTGCTATAATAAACTTAAAGAAAAAACAAAGTTCAAGGAGATACATCAGAGATCGAGCACTTAAAAAAAAAATCCCTTTACACTTAACACTTGAGAACATTCATAGGATGTGAGATTACCATAGCTGTTTTCGCACTGCCTGTCCTTTCAGGGTTTCCACATTGAAATTATTTGTCTTGGCAGGCATAATGAAAAACACCACCACTGTGACATCACTTTTATGCACCTGATGAGGGATTAGAAAACACAACAGGGTCAGCTATCAAAAATTTAAAAAGGGTAACAGATGGATCTTAAACTTTGAAAAGTAGTGTTTTTAAATATCATTAGATTAACCTCTATGGAAAACGGTATGGAGATATCACCAAAAACTAAAAGTAGACCTACCATTTGGTCCAGCAATCCCACTACTGGGTATTTACCCAAATAAAAAAAAAATCATTTTATCAAGACACATGCACTTGAATGTTTACTGCAGCACAATTCACAATTGCAAGATATGGGATTAACCCAAGTGCCTATCCATACAGGAGTGGATTAATAAAATGTGGTATATGTATACTACAGAGTATTACTCAGCCATAAAAAACATGGTGAATTAATACCTTTTGTAACAAACTGGATGGAACTGGAGACCGTTCTCCTAAGCAAAGTATTGCAAGAATGAAAAAACAAATACAGTATGTGCTCACTGTTAAATTGGAACTAGTTGATCAACACCCATGTGCACATATAGTAGTAAAACTCAACGGAAACCAAGCAGGTGGGAGGGGGGAAGGAGAGGACTGGTAAATTCACACCTCATGGGTACAATGCACACTGTCTTGGTCATGGGCACGCATATAACTTTGACTCAAACTGCACAAAAGCAAATCATGTAACCAAATGTTTGTACTGCCATCATATTCTGAAAAAAAAATCTATTTATGATTCACAGAGAAATTATATCCACCTTCCTAAGACTTTTCAGAAATTTTAATCTAGATCTGGCTTTCAATAAACATTTGTCAGTTAACAGTTTATAAATTCAGACATAAAATATTTTCATGGCATGGATTATCTAAAACAGCAGTCCCCAACATTTTTGGTCCCAGGGACCAGTTTCATGGAAGACATTTGTTCCACACAATGAAGGTGGGGGTGTGGGTGGAGCTTAGGCGGTGATGTGAGCCCTGGGGGAGTGGCTATAAATGCAGATGAGGCTTAGCTCACAGGCCAGCTCTGCTCACCTCCTGCTCTGCGTCCAGATTCCTAAGTTTCATGGAAGACAATTTTTCCATGGACCATTGGGGATGGTGGCTGAGGGGGACTAGGGGAGGTAAAGCTTAGGTGTTGATGCCCAACCGGGTTCCTAACAGGCCACAGACTGGTCAGGCCGTGGCCTGGGAGTTGGGAATCATAGATCTAAAATACATAACAATTGCTATTGATATCACTATGCTTCTGTGTATTTAAAAAATAACTTAAATGAGGGCTCTCATAACAAGGGCAAAATTAGTTCTTTAAAATTTCACATTGGAAATGTAATAAGGATTTAGTTTTGGTTTGTTCTTTTTAATTTCTTTTTTAGTTTATTCACATTGATTTGCACAAATAAATCATTTACATTTTTCTGTTAAATGTCTTTT